CTGTGTGTTGGCACCCCTGCCAAATCTCCATTGGCAGCCTGACAGTGACGCAGTAGCTTAATAAAGGGAAGCCAGTACTTGTACACCACTGAGGATGTTTTCCTGGTTTGATAATTGGCACATTAAATTTTGAATGCCCTGTTCCAAATTGTATGCTCTGTATTCTCAAGTTTGCTCTTAGAGCTGTGACAGCCTGTAAAGTGGCCTTAAGTTCAGTGTTTCATTATTATTAGAAAGTGCTGGCCTCCAGTGAGAGAGTTTTGATTGAGTTGCTGCTTTGTTCATTTGTTCTTTTTCTCCTGCTCTTATGATGATATCGTACTGAGCTCTCACTCACACGACACCTGTTACGTGAGCGAGACGCTGAGTGCAGAATTTAGAGAAAATGTCGGCTTGGTGGAAACTGTTGGTCTGTGCTTCGCTCATTTTATAATTTTTCCGATGCACGTCTGTGGACTGGCACGTGCTCTGTGTAATTGTCGTCTGATCCGTGCTAAGTGTCGCTATGTGTTGTTCTGTTATTAAGCTCACCTAACCAACTCTTGCAAAGTCATCTTGAAACAGGATTTAGCAGTTTGTTTACCAAGCCGGCCATTTATTCATTTTTGGCTAGGAGGGTTTTTTTTATTGTTTTGTGTGTGATGCAGAAACTCTTTTCCAGAAGAGATCTCCGCAAGCGTCTGAATGAATTCAGGAAGAGGAGTAGTCATGGTCGGATTCGACACATTTACTCTGCTGCTAAAATAAAGAGAAAAAAGATAGATACCAAAAGAATAGGAAAGTGATGAAAGTAGCCTCTGTTGGTTGCAAGGTCATTTAACAAATGCTTTGCGCCGGCTCGGTATGTTGGAGCATTGTGTCAAAGAGATGAGCATTTCTTAGAGCCGGCTCCCACCGGACCCTACTGCCTGGCCGCTGCACATTTTTTCTTTTTTACTGTGGCCTAAAGTAGGGTCCGGTTGTGGAGCGCAAGTTTATTAAGGAGACACAGAGTGTACTTTCTAGATGCAGGGCTGTTACGTGCCTGGGACGACACTCTGAGTGGAATCTAAAGCCTCTTTGAAAGCTAGCATAAGGAGCTGAAAATTTGTCAAGTTTGATAATTGCCTCTTTCCATTTTCACTAGAGCTCAAAAGTTTAGTCATTCTAGTAACACTGGACTAGAAGACTCTCTTAAAACACATTTAACTTCCAACCGAGTGATACTTTATTATGCACTGGTGCTTGTACAAATGTGAGTTGCATCTTTTGGACAGTCACGAGTAGCTCTCTTTCCAGCACTCCATTACAGAGGTTTGGAAGGTTCAGGAACCCATGTTTTGGCAGTGATTTCTGGGCATTAAAATGTCTCCCAGTTGCTGTAAGAGCATTTTCCATGGAAGTGCACTCTGTAGAAATAAGAGAGAAGTAACCCTTGACCGTGACATTCGATAACCGGTGACAAAGACAAGAGTAGGTGTCCAGCCAGCACTTGCTGATAGTCTTTTGTTTGGGGTGTTTTATCCATAGCAACTGATTCCCATATTAGAGGCACGTGGCAGTGGCTTGTTACATATTGTGGCATTACTGTGACTTTATGCTGATAACAGAAGGAAAGCCATAACTGCACATTGGTGTTCAGATAAGGTTTGTGCTGCTTCGTTTGAATACGTGAGAGCAGCACGTGGCGTGGCCTTCAGCCCAGTAATTGTGTTTGAATTACGCAAGTAAACTCAAAGTAATTGTCATTATCAAGTTCTGTTTGGAATGAAACGTAGGCTGTCCTTTCTGCTTGCCAAGTCATAAAAGTCACAGTAAATGTTGACATAGATCTCCAGGGAAAGAAACATGTTGAATTCTCTTATATGGCCTTTGATGGCTGAGCTTATGGAAGTTGGTGAAATCCCATTAATACAGCTTTCATGAACAAAGATTCTTTTAGATGGAAATTATGTGTGTGTTAGAAGTACAAATGATGATTGTTATAACAGGAAAAGTTTCTGAAGATGGTTGTCTTCTGCGATATAGTACCAACAGGAACTTACTGCTTCAGCCATCGGGGTGGTGGTCATTCATCACCGATGATGAAGACTGCACGCTGCTCTGAAATGTTGGTCATATCTGTCAGACTGCAGGGTACTACATCCTACAAGGCAACCATCTTCATACTCATTGCTGCAGAAACCTCGGATCATTCTGATGAGGAGTGTATTAATGGAATTTCATTTTTATAAAGAGGCAGGAAGATGAACAAAGAACGAGTGGCCTGTCGCTGTGAACTGAAGGTATGTACTTACAGTTTTTCTGGGTTTCTCTCTCCACGTGATATGTAACAAAACTTTTCTCCAAGGTTCATGTGGTAGTACTGCATGTAATTCAGTCATGTCGCAAAGAGTAGTGAAGTGTTTTAGAAGTGTAGCATGTTACAACCGACTGGACTCAGCGGAGCAAGCCTCAGCTTGTACTCGTGTTATGAGCAATGTAAGTACAAACTGGTCTTTATACTTTCCTAGCCAGTAAATTGCTGATTGTTGGTAAGTAAGTCAGTTGCTATGGATACTACACACTATTTGCAAGTGTGGAGGGAGTAAAGGTGAGGTGCTACCATGTGATTGGTTGGATCTCCAAGTGAATTGGGACGAGCTGAGAGCTAATGCTCGTGCGGCGAGATTCAACAGAGAGCGAGAGAGCGACATCTGGACCGCAGCACTGGTGCTACCAACTGTTGACAAATGGAGAAGATAGGTGGAAGTCGTGGAATTTATCTCAGACAAACTCATTTTCTCTGTTTACTGCTTGGAGCATTCTGATTTACTAATTATGCATCTCTCACATGTCAGTTAGCACACATAATGAGAGTGTGGGTGGACTTGCGTGGTGGTGATGGCTCCGTTGCAGCGGATGCAACGCGCGCACACAGCAAAACAAGGGGGCAAACCTGCTTGGACCGGTTGCTGTAATGTGATAGTGTAATATGTCAGCCACTCAGACTTGTGATTCTGTTAGGCGAGTGATAATGAATACTTAATTGGATCTTTGATGTAAATAATTGGTTTCTTTCACGATGAAATTTTTGCTATTCCTGCGTGTACTTCAATTTTTGCTCTACTAGAAGTCCCACATAAAAGTTTATGTAGCTGAATCACAAAATATTTATTGAAGCTGCATCTGCACTCTTTTTCAAAAAATTGTATGAAGAACCAAGCTTATCCCTTCTAGGAGGATCAGAGCTTTAAAATAACAGAGAAATTAGCATTGTTTCATGAAGCTGCAGTAGTGTATCTGTCATAACATCACACATCATTTGTCAGCTGTACTCAGATGCAAAATAGTTGAACTGAACACCCTTTTGAAAAAATGGTAATTTAAGAAGCCAGGTGTGTGCATTATTTGGTTAAATACTGTGCGGTAATTGCATGTTTAAGAAAGAGAGGGGTGTGTCATATTAAAGCATGTCATTACGGTACAAGCTGCTTTGTTGCAGCGATAAATTACAGTGTTGGGATAGTCATGGCTAAACATTTTGTACCACGTCAGTATTATTATTGTGGGTTGTAACACCATGTGGACTTGTAGATAAATACCATTATTTCAAAGACATACTGCCACCATCTTCAGGATTGAAGCCAGGTGGCCGCAATGTCCCAAGCAGGTCTGTCATGTTTTACTGTGTGTCCCATCAACATTTCCTTACTCAGAAAGTCACTGGGTCCATATATAATTTTGTGTATCCCTCATTTATGTTGCATATTGCACAAAAGATGAGAGTAAATTTATGCCTGACATGAACCCGTTTGTTGCAAAATTACGTTTCTGCCCCGTGCTGCGAAGCTGGATCTCCCACAGAGCAAGGGAAATTTATGCCGTTTGCATTATGTTACGTGAAGAGTAATAGCAGAGGTTAGTGGGTGGGTACCATAACAGGTGGTTGTGGAAGAAATAGAAAAACAATTTTGGTTCTTACTAATGAGACATTGAAAGGTCACAAAACCACGTGGCACAAATATAGTGATTGCAGGTGTGAATGTGTGTAGACAGGGACAGTTTGCAGCGTGATGTGCTGTAAACTGCGATCTGTTTCTTAGCATATTTAGTGAAGACTTGTTAAATGTTTAATTTCAAGCTGTGGGCGGTCCTGCAGTTTGTCCCATGTCATACGCGGCAGCAGTTTTGGCCAATAGTACCAAAGTGTGAAAATGAAACAAATTACTGCCTCAGTATAATTTTCTAATAAACATTACATTAAGTAACATGGTGTATATCCTTTCACTATTCTCATCAGAGAAGAAAAGTTTTCTGTGTTCAAAAGTATTAGTTACCAGTATACAAAATTCACCTGTCCTGGAGATAAAGACTCTGAATTGAAGTTCACAACTTGTTTGGCCATTTTGTATTTTCCAAGCACAGATGTCTTTATAAGAAATGTGTTGCTTGTGCAAAAGCTGTTCCCACAAAACACTGCCATATGGCAGTCCTAGGTGTCTCAAGGGATGCAGAACACAGAAACAAATTTAAAATAAATAAATAAAGGAAAAGCAGGGCTGTAACAAACATTTAACCACTGTGATTAATTAAACCTTTAATTGACCATACAGTTCAGATGCATAACCTTAAAAGTGCTACTTGTAACTTCTAAAGTAAAGTAAACTAAGGTAAAGCAAAGCAAAGCTGTTCACGATATAACATGGAAACACTTGGATGAAGAGAAGGCACTGTTCCTACTTATTCCTGACTGCAGCATTAGTTGTAGGTGAGTGGTCACCATCATGCCCCCTGCTGTGCTTTACTCCTGGGGAAAGGACCTCCTCACTGCCCATTGGATAGAAGCATGGTGGCTGGAAGACATCCTTTACCCATATTGGGTATCAAAACCCAGTTGTCCAGTCCGTAGTCAGACACCACACCAGCTGAGCTACCCTGGCTCTTATGTTTAACTTGTAATTTCAAATATTGTATGCATTTGCTGTGTAATCACTCAGAACTATGAATTTCAGTCTCAACTTATGTTTGTGCTATCAGCTCTCTTCATGGGTCTCCATGTGTCACTAGTTCAGGAAACGATCGTGAACCTTGAGACTTTGACGTCGAATTTGTAGCTTGAGACTTGTCATGTGTAGTGTTCATTCAATTATAAACTATTATTTTACATGACACATCTGTATTAACTAATGAAGGTATTGTTTGATCGATTGTTTGTTTGAAAATGTTGCCTGTGATTTATTGCGCTAGTCCCTGTACCCACTGCGTGGAGCCACTCAGCCGTCCACCCCACTTGTGTTTGTGAGGTTGCCCCACGCACCATAACTGATGCCGTGTTAGGTCTCTTTCGATGTTACATACTATTCAGTAAAATAATTTCTTGCAGCATTAACATCACAGCCATTTAAACAGATGTTTTAATATTGCAGGTGCCACTTTTGGGACAGGAATATGTGCTGTTAAGTTGACAGCACTTGGACGTCCACAGTTGCTGGTAAGTTGCACTGCCTCACAGTTTTTGGCTGTCACTATCAGTTAACTGTCTTTGACATCCTATAGTTACATAAAAATTGGGGTGATCGCACTTCACAGCTTGGGCTCTTTCTCATCACATGATCTAAAATGCTTTAGACTGACAGCACTGTGCATGTAAACTGTAATTTAGAATAAATCTGTAGGTAGCAGCGCGTTGCTTGCAACAGTTTATGGTATGAAGTAACCTGAATGCTGACAAACCTGTACACTTAGCTGCATACTAGAGACAGATGTTACCTGCATTGTGTCTGTTGTTCATTATGTGGTCATAAAAGTGTATTCAGTGTTCTAAAAAAGTTTTTATTTCAGGACATCTGTTCTTTTCACATGGAAAAGGCTGCAACAGGTGAACAAACTTTAACAGAATTAGAGAAAATTGTTAATTTCAGTTCAGAAAACAGCCACCAGTTGCTGGTATAAGAGGGTAAATTCTTGCTATGCTTAGGATGAGGTCAGTAAAGCTCTGTCTCTAAATTGGGGATCTGCTCACGACAGTCTGTGCAGCTGTGGATATGTAGCAACAGAGGAATCGAATTGTCCTGCCTTTGCCCTACTGTGGGGTTTGTTTCATGTATGCAAATCAAAGAAACCTGCGGGCTGCATGGTGGTACTGCGGAAAGTACGAACTGATGCCTTAACCTTAACCATTGACTTGAAGTATGCCTTCAGCGTGACTGCTGTTACCATAAGCGTGTCATGTAAGCGTAATTTCGCTCTACTGGCCAAACCATCATTATCAACGCAATGTGCTGCTGATGTGTTGCAGTTGCAACTGTCTGAGGTGATCATGCGCACACGAAAGTACATGACAGAGGTGTTGGGAGGGGGAGGCAATGTTCTGACGCATCACGTGCATGTGGAGGAACTGGAGAAGAAGTTCTTACAGGCGGGCCTTGAGGAGGAGACGGTTAAGAAGTTCCTTAAGCAGCTAACCTACGACAAAGAAGGGTGAGTGAAGCTGCTCTGTTGTGTTTCTGCCTCAGACCTGAGGTGGAGCCCTGTTGTGACATGTTCTTATTTTTGTATGCAGAGTTATTCACTTGTTTCCCTGGAGTGGTATTGTGGATGAGAACCAGCAGCTGAGTGACACGTTCCGTGTGCCAGACCTCAAGACGGGTCGCATGGTGCGCCTAATCACGCAGCTCACGCCAAAGGAGGAAGAGATGTTTCGAAATATGGTACGGCGCATGAACAACTTGTGCAGGGTGAGTATTCCTGTTTCAGATGAACATGACATTTAAACCCTTGTCATCACCAGTATAAATGTGGCTGGTGTGCACAGTCGTGGGGTTAAGAGGACTCTGACCTGTGCACTATGCTGTTCATTAATACAGCGTAACTTACGATTAACAAGGTTCTGAATTTTCATTTGTTTTAATTACCAGATGGCAGAAGAGCTGGATGTACGCATCATGGTGGACGCAGAACAGACATACTTCCAGCCAGCTATCTCCAGGATCACCCTTGAGATGATGCGAAAATACAACAAAGATAAGGTGGGAGCACACTTTGTAGCAGTCCTGTAAGGAGTTGCCAGTTGTCCGTCTGTTTATTACAGGCTGCTAATGTTTGGGGGGTGGGTGTTGTGGATTTGGATGTTGGGTAACAGTAACATCAACAATAACAAAATTTAATTAAGTGCAGCTTAGGGCTTAGAGAATTTTGGCGTCGTGCCAGGTGTGATCCTATCTTGCTTCATGGCTTATGTAATTGTTGGGGGATGGATCATCTGCGTCAATTGGGCCGAACAGTAATAAGTTTCACCCGAGGACAGAGATAGCTTCCAGTCACTGAAACTTGTTTAATTAAGATTAAGGCGGATATCCAAGAATTGGAATAAATTCTTCACACATTTAAATTTTAAGCCACTTCTTATAAAACACACCTTTTCAGTACTATGCTCTGGATGCATGAATTTTGGTCTGGACAACATGGTCAAAAGTTGTACTCACCATTGAGATGAATATATGATGTTTCTGACATTATGATTGTGAGGTTCTATAGTAATCCTTGCTCCGTCTGTCCCTTCTGATCTGCAGAGATTGCTCAGCTCTGAACATTATTTTATGAATGCTTTCACTCGTTCTGTATGCCACCATCCTAGCACATGCCCATCTTGTTCGGAAAACTAATTAGTCATGATGAGATGCCCGTGAATTGACCATTTCTGTTGATGTGTGTGCAGGCAGTAGTGTTCAACACATACCAGTGCTACCTGAAGAACACGTACGAAGAAGCAACGAACGACTTGGAGCAAGCAAAGCGACAGAACTTTTACTTCGGAGCCAAGTTGGTCCGAGGCGCCTACCTCGAACAGGTCGGCTAGCACCAATTCTACCAAAAAACATTATAATCTCTGAAATTTAAGTTTAGTAATACAAAACTCACTTGTCTTACAGATCACAGTTGGCTCAGGGCCATGCACTATCAGAATCTGAAATATAAAAGAAAGTGTAGCATTTTAGTGTTGGTAACACTGACGTCTATCACTTGTAGGAGCGGGCTCGAGCCGCGGCGCTTGGCTACTCTGATCCCACAAACCCCAATTTTGAGGCCACGACCGAGATGTACCACCGCACCCTGACCGAATGTCTCCGCCGCATCAAGGATCTCAAGGACCGCAGTGAGGATGCAAAGAGGATCGCCATTATGGTGGCTAGTCACAACGAGAATACTGTCCGATTTGCGATCGAGAAGTACGTGTCCAGTGCGTTGCTGTGGGCTGTTTGCTTTCAGTGTCTTTTTACAACAGCTTGATGGCACTGTTTGTTTTGTTGCAGAATGAAGGAGATTGGAATCTCGCCAGAAGACAAAGTGATCTGTTTCGGGCAGCTGCTGGGCATGTGTGACTACATCACATTCCCTCTCGGTGGGTGCACATGCACTGGGGGCTGAAGGAGGACAAAAATGAGTAGCCACAGATTTCAGAACTAACATTAAACTTGTGAATATCTCACATAAACAGATAATATTAAAGTGGATCTTACGACAGTGGCGCAGCTCAGAAGACCACTGTCAATATGTCAGTAGGTTATTTAGTAAGTTACTTTGATGTAATCTGCAGTGCTTATTTTGTTTACTCTTGCTGTACAGGTCAGTCGGGCTATTCCGCATACAAGTACATCCCGTATGGGCCAATCAACGAAGTGCTGCCATATCTGTCACGGCGTGCTCACGAGAATAAGGGCATTCTAAAGAAGATTAAGAAGGAGAAGAAGCTGCTACTGCAAGAACTGCGCCGCAGGATAATGTCTGGTCAGATATTTTACCGGCCCAGAGGCAACTATGTCCCTGTGTGAGTTCAGGACACGAGGGGTGTTAGTGGTCTCAACGCTAGAGCATGCTGCTCAATGCCGAGCCGCCAAGACGTTCCTTGCGCCGTGATGACTGTAACATTTCAGTATGGGCGGTCGGTTAGTAGCCACCGTTCGTCAGTAACCGTACTTAGTTGAAGCGTGACTTTGGCATTGAGTGTCATCTTCTCTCGTTTTTATAAATATTATAAATATGGCGTGAATGTTGTATTGGAGTGGGCGTGCGTGTAGCAAGCTTGAGACTTGTTTGTTCTGTCTGTGTAGTTTAAATATTAACTGAACAGTATTTTCAGTATTGAAATGGGACCGTTGGAGTGGGATTGCTCCCAGTGGGGAGGGGAGGGGTGGGGGGCACTCCGCCTGGCACTTGTTTCTTCCATTCCATCATTTCCCTCCAGATTCCAGCTTCTTGAATTTTGCTTTAAGCTCGTCATATGGTATTATGAATTATCTATGTCCGTTAGTCTTTTTGGTTAACATGCGATAGTTTACTTTAACAAAGCTACAAATAAAAGTATTATTTATGATATTGTATCAAAGGATAAGACTGAGTGGAGGTTTTCTTCTACGGTTTTGTGTTGGAACGGCACTACAGCTGTTTCTGCGTCACTGTACTTATTATAAAGAAGAAATAAAGTAAGGCATGTTTTCGCAAACATTAAATTTTTAAGTAGTCTTTGTGACTATGGGACAAGGACTATGAACAGATGTTGCCAAGAGTGCGTATTCACTCAATTGCAGTAAAGTAAGGAAAGAAATTTGTGGAAAATATGCAAGAAAAGGTGAGATGGGTGGCAGTCCTTACTAGTACCAAGGTGTTGTTCTGTATGGGATCCTTGCACACAGTTTCAGTGAGCATATGGCCACATGACAAGTGTGCACTTGTTGCTTTCTCATTTCCTTGCACGTATCACCCTTCTTTGTGGGGGAATGTGACACCGTGCTCTGCAAGGAGATGTTTAAGAAAGAGGTGTGCTCTAATTGACTTCAGAATCTGCACACAGTACTTCATGGTATCCTTTGCCACTAAGAATAATTAAGAACCATTTAAGTCTAGTGAGCAGCTCACACCTGAAAGGATAAACTAAAGTAGTTGCTACCGGGCGTGATCAAGCCCTTGCCGTCCTTTAGACATGATGTTTTGTGGTTGTCGAGGCGTGGAACTTTAGCACCGGCATTGCCGTATGCTGCTGCTCGTTGATAGAATCGTCATCGTGCCTTATGTTATGACAATATACCACCATTAAGGCATCAGAATTACAGCGAGTAAGTACGAGAGATCTCTTTTGGTATCTTTACTGTGCCATTGAATAGTTTGTTGCGAAAATGTGTCTCACACCAGATACGAAGACTTGTTCAGCTTCAATGTTGTGTGTGTGGACAGTTAGTTACATATATCACCCGATACTTCTCAAGTCTTACTGCAGTAATGTGGCAACTACAAGTTGACCCTCATATTCATCAAGTGCTTGAATTCCTTCAATTTAAACAATTCTGTACACATTTTACATTCCACTTCAATGTTCACCTTTGAATATTCAGTTGCTAAATTGCTGAAAGTGTTACATGTACTTAATGGTAACAACATTGTTACAGTTCCACCCATGAGTTATTTTTAATTTTGTTAATGGAGAAGTATTGAGAACCATCATTATATTTTTGAATGTAATTATGTAATGTGAATACGGTAGTGGATATACCAGGGCTGAGGGAAGCGGCATGCTGTGATGTGGAGTGAGCAGACCCCTTTTCTGGTAACTGGAAGGAGACAGTTGTTACTACGAAGTGCTCAGCATACCTGTAGACAAGGTTATCGTCTGAGGCGCGAAGGCGTTCGGCAGTGCCGGTAGAAAGCCCGAAGAGACTCGACTTTGTCGCCATCCAGGTACTGGAACACGTTTGTAAAAATGGGCATTTTCACAATTTATTTCACACTGAATAGTGGGACTTACAGTACACATTCATTGTGACCAGGAAGAGTATAGCATGTCTCATAAAACTTCTATAACTGCTACATGTGAATGTAAAAATACAGTGTCACTGTTGTAAATGTATAGTGATATGGTGGATCGATGACTGACTCTTCCCTCTGTCACACCACACTTTATGTCTGTCAGTTGATATGAATAAAACATTCTTAAATTAATTGCTGAAACTCTGTTCATACTTTCCCCAAATCCCAGGTGCTACTGCCGTCACAGATTGTAATCCAGTATTTTTATACATATAAAATGTCATGTCTGTCGTGAAGTTCCTCAGAGCCATGGTGGGAATGATGTACCAGTGCCCTGATCACGTGTCAGATTCGCTGACAATTACATGAGGCATTCTCTGAAAGGTCAGCACTGCATTACAGTTACCTTGAAATTTCCTGTTCAACTTGTTCATTAAAACAAATCACTTTGAATATAACCACTTAAAAATGTTGCTGGTCTTCTTGTTCAATGGTCTGTTTACTGTTGCACAAGTAGTTTCAGCACGGCACGGACAATGTGTGTTCATCTGCTCCAGCTTCATGGTTGTAGTTGGAGATGCCTATGCTTTAAACTTGAAATTAAACTCATTGCAGTGTTAAGTTCATAAATATGAGAAGTGCCTCAGCAGCAGTATGTCAAACTGTCTGTGTAATGATTGTAATTACAAATTCTACAGAATACAGGGGGAAGTGGAAATTGTGTGAGAATGTTCTTCACGCGTGAATGCTCCTTGAGCTACTGACGACTGATGCAGCAGTAGGTTACACTCTGTGAATGCAAAACGTGGAGTGTAGGCTTCAACTCGTGCAAGAGAGGGAAAGTGCTTGAGGCGACGCTGCAGGAATGTAGCATTCACATAATTACACATACTAATCTGTGATGAAGTGGCTTGTTGCTGTTGAAAGAAAATGGGTAAATTTTGTTGCAGTATTGCTTTCTTTTTAAGTGTGATGTAGTGAGATCAGGTGAGAGAGCTCATTACATGACTGAGACCAGATGCTCATTATTTTTGATATCACAAATTTTATACATTATAAAAACTTTTTCTTGCTCCTCCTTGACTACAGTTCACTGATTCTCAACAGCTTCCACTGTCTGTCGTCATGACGACACAACCTGGAAGCCGTCACAGTCACAACAAGCATTTCGTACCGAGGAGAGCCACTGGTGTTCCTGAGGTTCACAGAACGTGTCAATTCGTCCATTTTAGAGCATCATTGTTCCAAAGTAAGACTGCAGCCTGATTATCAAATTTGTCAACATCACAGTGGTCCAAAGTGTGTGACAACTGATGCTGATCAGTTGTCATGTTTTTACATTCCTTCATTTACGCCTTTTGAACCAGTTAACGAAGCAACAAAAATTTCATAATAGTGAAGTGAACTAGTTGCATAAGGAGAGAGACGGTTCTTTTGCAAAGAGGGCAGTGAATCATAAGATTAATACAGTGTTTTGTTACAATGATACTGCACCTGGGGAGCATGTTGCTTTGATGATGTATCAACTGCGGAGGTTATCGAGCATATGATTTTGTGTGGTATATTGGAGCCAAAGAGGAGAGAATACTATAGCGTTAGTTTTGGAAGAACGAGGAAAAGCACAAGGAACTTGAGACAGCTCATAGAACTTCCACTTACAAGTAGCTGCTGTCATTCTTGGTAACACAGGAAAGCCTACCCTCTCAAAACTGTTGCTTGCATCTACTTGGCAACTTAATTCAACAACTGAGGGCCATTTCCAAGCTGTACATATGCGGTCTTGTCTTGGAACACCATGTGCTGTTATGTTGAGTGAGCTCTAGAGCGACACAGCTTGGGTCACAAGGTGGTAATGCGCGTTTTGAGTTTGCGGTGGGACTCTAGTCTCATTTCGAGCCACGTGTAGGGTGCCACAGCCAAGACGAGGGCCGCTGCCAGGGCATATAGTTTCAGCCAGTTGCAGACGCCTCCATGAAGCCCAAAGGCCAGTGACAGCCCTAGGAAGCGGAAGAAGTAGCAGTGTGCCAATGGTGCCTGCCAAGAGTCGGGGTACACGGTGACCAGCAGAGCTGCAGATCAACAAAAGGTTGGTAGTCAGTGCTCTGACAGCTGTTACGTTGACATACATGCATACATGACATTGAAACTCACTGAAGTTGAGTATTTCCCAGATGGCATTGCAGACACCCCATGCTGCTGGGATGACATAGAAGAGGGCAGGGTCATCACCAGATGGCTTCCAGAGCAACAGAACCAGCAACAGGCAGGCGTGGAACACAAAACCGACTGCTGCGACAAGTAAAAGATACCAGGCGATGTTTCAGGCACTGCAGGAAGACATTGTCTTAACGTTTATTGTATGGGATTGCTGGGCAGACTGTAACTTCAACATTAATAGTGTAACAATATGCTACTGCAAGGTATGGCCAGCTGGACAGCCCATAAGTTATGATGTATAGCCAATAAAGGCAAAAGTAAATCATGACCTCCAAACTAATACATCATTAACAAGCATATTATTATATCCATCTTGACAGTGCATAACATGAACATTTGATGTGCGTCATACTAACACCCACCATAAAGAGCTGCAGTACATAAAATGGCTGCTAAGAGGTTTAGAATTCAGCTTCCATGCCATGCAGCTTACCAATGACTATGCAACGTGGGATGTGACGCAGCATCATGCTGAGGGTGAAGGCTGCCAGGGACTGCAATGCTCCCAGGCTCAGGAACACAAGACTAACATTACGCAAGCCCAGTGTGCACACCACATAGGACTGCAACAGGAGAATCGCGTGATAGCTAGCAAGTCATGACTGAGTCCACAACAGCAGCTTCTCCCCTTCTTGTGATACTGACCTTGCTGAAGTCGGTAAGCATGAAGCCCTGCTCAAGCCCTATAAATACTGCTAGGGGTGCTGCCAGCTGGAGCCGTGGGTCACTGAACACGCTGAACACGGCTCGCACTGCCGCCATACCTGTTGGCCTGTCTTGGTACGCAAACATCCGAATCCGGTCCAGGAATGCGGCCGTCACTGCCAAACCCATCACAGAGCAGCCCAGGAACACACTGGCCAGCATTGCAGATGTTTTGCACGGCAGCACAAACACCAGCTGAGCCTCGCTCACCGTTGAGTTTGCCTCCTCAGGGGGTTCTGCAATCGTGCTGGTGAACGGGCATGCCTTGCTGCCACACACACGCTCCTGGCTGCCATCTGTCAGGAACAGGGCATCAAGTTCAGGCTGTGGGAATTCTGCATCATCTGGAACAGTAAGTATGCACCCATATTGATCCTGCTGTATGTACCAGGTTGGTGTGGTTTCTGCCGTGTTGTATGTGAGGCACCCACCTTGCTGTGCGTACCAGAGCAGAAAGGCTGTAACGCCATTGCCGAGCACCAGGCCAAAGTCCTGCGCGGTCTGCAGGCCTCGTGCAAGCCTGCGCACAACAGTCTCCCTGCGGCACGAGCTCTCCTCTTCTCCCTCTTCCGTCACAACGTACGACAGCTTAGAAGCCAGCGTCATGAGGAAGGTGAGGCGTGCACTGACGAGTGGGCCCAACCACAGGCCGAAGACCAGGTATGCAGGAACCAGTGTGTAGGGTGTGGGGTACAGATGCAACCCGAAGAACATGCAGGCGTGCACGTAGCCCAAGATGAGTGTCCAGTTGCAGCCCACATGCTGTACCAACACTGGAGCCACAAGGGAGGATAGGGAGGCCATTGCATGCAGGGCAGCCAGCAGGAGGGCCCCCATGTCAGATGACACCGCGGCCTGTGTAGCCAGCAGTGGCATCAGGGCAGCTGTGAGTGTCACATGGCCTAGACACAGTGCTGCAAAGTTACGCAACAGGACTCGACGCGAGTAGATGGGGCCCAGGTGGGATGGTGTTGACCTCACCACGGCAATCAGACGCCGCACGGAGGAGGCACCCCCGGAACTGGACAGTGAGCGCGTGGATACGGGCGAGTGCTGCGAACGCAAGCAGCAGATGTAGAGCGAGGCTTCATGATGGGCATGCTTGTATCACACCGTCACAGCGAGACTTACCTCCAGCCTGAAGTCATCCCAGCAGGTGCCGCCACTTTGCGTCTGGTGCACCACACGGTGTTGGTGGTGGGTCCTGCCCTGTTACACAAACTCACATCATGAAGGAGTGAGCACAAGCACTTGATATGTAAAGTGCGGCACACCGACCCAATACTTGAAATTGAAACTCAATGCCAATGTGAGGCACTTAAAGATTTTGTCCATACAATTTCACACTTCATGTTGAAATCCAAAATGTCTTACTCTTTTTGTAATGTAACACTGCATGCTTCACATTCCATCATACTACATAATTTCTGAATACTTTATTTATCCCTTCAAGGGTATTTATCACAAGCATTTTAATGAGTAACTGGATAGCATGATAAAAATACATTTTACTCTGTGCGCACTATTAAAACAAAAATTTAATTTCATAATTGGAAGGTCATGCCCACTTTTCTGTCCATGTTTCATGAACTTCGACTTGAGTTTGATATTGGAGAATTTGTAAGAAAATTTGTCAGAGATCTGTTATTCTTTCTGTGCAACCCTTTACGAGGTCTCTCAGAAACTGTTCATTACTTAAAAAGTTGATATATCATGTACACCTTTTATTTGACGTATTTTCCTATGTGCAGCTACTAACAGGCCCATTGTCTCTACTCCAGATGATACATGAAAGACTATAGATCACCAGTGGAATGACACTTAGAGGGGGAAACCAAAGGACTTGTAGAAAACCCTGTCTCAATGCCACTCTGTCCAACGTGGACTGCCCCGGGCACATTCTGGATTTTGTTACTGGTCAGCTCCGCGCTTTGCTGTCCCCTTTCCAGGCAACGTTTTTCCGAGTAGGACGGGTCTCAGAGGGCTTCAGATATTGCAGTGGAGAGAACAGTTTGTGACTCCACAGAACCAAACCCCAGCTGTGGGCTACCTCAATGAATAGGACTCACTTTAATCATTCATTTGAAAATTATAATTAAACTTTTGTATTATTGTGGTCAATCAGAGATGCCACTTTACTTGGCACACAGTTACAGAGACAGCCGACTGTTCCAGAACCCACGGCCACCTCTAAAACTCTGGTTTGAACTGAGCTCACCGAGTGATGCCTGATTACGGGTCGAGGTAATTCAAACAGCCGAGAGATGGGCGCGCGATCGGCTGCCGACAAGGCATGCAGGTCTGGCAGAGAGCCCATGCTTGTCTTTACATCGTGATTGTTGGGGGATCAGCTCTGCAGCAACCTGCAACAGTTGAAGGTAAGGAAGTTAACCCCCATTAAAACACAGTGGTAGCTATATATACTGCCCGCTTTAACATTCGGTGTATTTGTCTCATGATTTAAAAAGCACTTATTCCTATGTTATTAACCAACTGATCCTCATAGAGATTTGCTTTGTTTACATTGGAGGACCAGTGTAAATTAATTGGTTTTACAATTTCATAGCTTAAAGCGTTTGCAGTAAACTTGTCCAACGTCAAAGCCCCCATGAAGACGTTGGTGGACTTGGAGGCAATGCTCGACATCTTCGTTTCCTCTGCTCCCCTCTCAAGTGTCTGTGACGTCACCCACGCTCATTTTTCTGTCACTGCATCGGACCTCCGAAGTTGGCCGAAATTCAGCACAGGAATCATTTCTGCTGCTCACCTGAAGAGGTTGAGGTTGAGGCTGTGGGGTAGGTCAGGCAGCATAGTTGAGACTTCGTCCACCAAGGCGAGCCACCTGTTGGATACAATGAATTAGTGTCTCATCGCCTTCCTACGTAAAATCCGTACACTAAATGGTGACGTAATCGCGGGTTGCACAATGACCACAGCCTTGGAGTGTTCCACGCTACGCGACGCTCGCTCTGCCACCTGGTGAAGGTCGAAGTCCCCAGGTTTTGTGGGTGTTCGTCGAAGAAGCTGTTCTTATCTTGACCGAGCCATTGTGTGGCGGGTTGAGTTGAGGCGCGCGCATGCGTCGTGTGTTTCAACTGAAATGGGAATGTAATCCGTCTTTCTTCCACGAATCTGTTGCCACTTGAAGTCGAAATCAGGGCCTCAGCGGTGAGAAGCCAGCCTGAATCGCGATACAGTGTCCTCATGTAGACCACAGCCGTTCGACGCAAAAAGAATCCGCAGTCAATACAGCGTCGTAAAACAATCACCTTGCATGTCGAATCGCCGTCTGGTGTCTCACGGACGCGTTGAGGTGGGCCTCAAAACTGAATCGAAGTCCGTGGAGTGCAGCGCTGTTGCTGCCAGCTGACCTCGCACGTCACTAGCAGGCAGTTTGGGGTAACCCCCCCATCCAGTGGCTCTTTCCGCCGCGCGGTTATCGATCGGCACCGCCGACGCCAAGCGCCGAGTCGGTGGCTCCTCATGTGCACCTGTTTCATTTAACGCGCAGATGAAACTGCGCCGGCCTGTAATTTACCCGTTGTTTTGTGTTTGGGAACGCGGTGAGAGCGTACTGGAGAAAAATATTTTATGAGGAGCTTCAAAATTATTGGGGCGATAATATCGAGGACGGCGTGATGGGTTGGGCAGACAGCACGCGCGGGGGCCGTAAAATTGGCGAAACACATTTTGATGCGGAAGCCTGAAGGGACGACACCGATTGGAAGGCGCAAGTGGGAGGATAATATTAAAATGGAACTTGGATGGACTTAGGTGAAAGTAAGACTGGATTAACGTCCAGTGCACGTCTTTTGTGAACTCCGTAATGAACGTTTGTGTCGGAGAAAAGTCGGGGAATTTGTTGACAAGCCGAGCGACTGTCAGCTCCCGCTGACCTAGCACATCGCATGTCTGCATCCAGGTCTTACGCTTTTAAGTCTGTTTCCTATATCCTTCCATTTTTTGTCGTCCAAAGGGCTTCGCCATAGAAATTCATCACGCGCCCTTGGTATTTCCGTCGCCACCTCCAGGTGGTCTCAAGGTCGGAGAAACGTGACCTTCAACTACCGCAAGAGGGAAATCTGAAGTCATTTCTCCATTTCCTTGAGTCGAAACAGCTGCAGGCGTTTACGATGTTTGGGAAGGGACTGAGAAAAATGGCGATGTGAGGTTTTTGAACCACTTTTTGTGCCTCATATTAACGAAGTTTAGTACGCAAATTATAACTGCATTTCTCTGACCAACGTAGTCGTTACTTTCAATGGGGAAAAAAGTGTCGTGTGTTGCGCAACGAATC